GTGTGTGTGTGTGTGTGTGTGAGTGAGTGTGTGTGTGTCTGTGTATGTGCGTGTGCGAGTATGTGTGTGTGTGTGAGTGAGTGTGTGTGTGTGTGTGTGTGTGAGTGTGTGTGTGTGTGTGAGTTTTGGTTAACATTCAAATGATTAATTAGTTAGAAACTTGTTGCTATGAATACAGGTGCCATCAGTTGTCTTCTTATGAATGACTTGTTTGTCATTGAGTCAGTGTTGCCGATGCAAAGTAGGCCCTTCGTTACCAATCACCATGTAACTAAATTAGGATACAATTATGAGTCATTTGCAAACTGTTAAACATTAAACTGTTGGTTACTTTAAAACTAACCTTCATCTGGGAGATCACAGGGATATGTGAATATTTGATCTGTTAACTAACTGATGGCATATGTCAGATTTATTGCATGACTCGGGCAGAGAAAAGCTGTTGCTATCAAACATTGTTTACTTAATCAACAGTAAGTTGTAATGAAGGGATAGATCAAATAAGCCAATTGATGGAAGGTTTGCGAAGATATTTCATGCTCCCTTGTAAAAGTATTTTTTAGTATTTTAAAAATACAAAAATACAGTAGTTTATTTTAATACATGGTGTGGCTGCTGTATTTTGTAGTTTATTTTGATACATTTAAAATGAAGGTATTTTGTATTTTATTTTAAAATACATTTTGATGCATCTTTGCCCAACCCTGAACACAATCATATTCATATTGGACTGTTTGATGGACACTTTTATGCTTCAGTTCTTTTGTTGAAAGTCACACGACATTCAAACATTTGGGTTTGATATGATGAGCCTTACAAGAAAAGCCTGCATTTATTTGATCAAAAATACAGTAAAAATTGTGAAATATTATTCTAATGTAAAGCAGCTATTTTCTGTGTGAATCTCTGTTAAACTGTAATGTATTTCTGTGATGTGCAGCTGTATTTTCAGCATCATTACTCCAGTCTTCAGTGTCACATGATCTTCAGAATTCAGTATAATATGTTGATTTACTGTCACTTTTAATAAATAAAAGTAATAATTTCCTGAAAAATGCAAATACAAAAAGTGCTTTATTTCTCTCTCTCTTTCAGTGTCACATGATCTTCAGAAATCAGTATAATATGTTGATTTACTGTCACTTTTAATAAATAAAAGTAATAATTTCCTGAAAAATGCAAATACAAAAAGTGCTTTATTTCTCTCTCTCTCTGTGTGTGTGCATATGTGTGTGTGTGTGTGTGTGTGTGTGTGTGTGTGAGTGTGTGTGTGTGTGTGGTGTGGGTTACAGGACTGAACCTTCTGTCTTCTATAATACAGCTCAAGTTCACTGTCCTTCCCCTTCCACACACACTCACACACACACACTCGTGTGTCTCGAGGGTAAAGTGGATTAGAGTCATTGATCTTGAGCCGAGAGTGTTTTGAGAGCAACATGAGAGAAACGACGTTCTCTCAGATGGAACGTTTTACTTCAAGTCTTATAATGCAGATGCATCATGGGAGTTTTGCTTCCACTAATGATGTCCAGTGCTAAAAGAGAAGCACAGCTGTGTGTGTGTGTGTGTGTGTGTGTGTGTGTTCTCCAGCATGTTAAGGTCAGATCTGCATGTTCATGTTTGTTCATAATAAAGCATGCTGATTTAATTTAGGAGAGAGCTGCGTGACGTGTGACACTGGGCAGTTTGTTCTGGACGTGTGTTTAATGTTAAACACGGGTTAATTTAATTAATCCAGTAATGAATTTCATTTGACACGAATTGAAATGGTTTCTCAGTCGTTCTGTTGCTGAACATCACATCAACTACAGCGTGTCGACACGACCTTTATGTGACGCCAAAACAGGTTAATCCTTTACAAACCCAATGTTATTTGATGAAAAATACAGTAAAAATTGTGAAATATTATTCTAATGTAAAACAGCTGTTTTCTCTGTGAATCTCTGTTAAGCTGTAATATATTTCTGTGATGCGCAGCTGTATTTTCAGCATCATTCCTCCAGTCTTCAGTGTCACATGATCTTCAGAAATCAGTATAATATGCTGATTTTCTGCTCCAGAAACATTTCTGATTATTATCAATCCTGAAAACATTAAACTTTTTGTGGAAACCGTGACACATTTTATTTTTCAGGATTCACAGATGAATAGAAAGTTCAAAAGAACAGCATTTATCTTTTGGAACATTATGCACTTTTGACCACTTTAATGCATCCTTGATGGATAACACTATTAATTACATTTTTTTAAAAACTTTTCGAACCCTGTTTTACCTCCTGCATACATGACGGCCAGCATGATGGAGGAGATCCAGGCCACCTCACTGTACGAGGCGTTGAAGATGTTCTGGATGTCTTTGAAGAACACGGTGGTGGCCTTTGGGAAGGCGTAAGAGAATCCGATGGAGATGAAGGCCCCGCCCACCACAGCCCAGCCCCACCCACCGTCTGGAGGCGGCACGGCTGGGGGTCCGACAGGTGGAGGCATTGTGAGCCCTGGGTATCACTGCAGGAGAGACGGAGACCACCAATTAGACTGAGATTTACAGCTGTGACATTCAACCAATCATGTGAGTGTGGGGCGGGGCTATCTGCCCGACTGACCAATGAGAGACCAGAAGGAGTGTTCAGGAAACCTGTCTGATAACAGGTGGTTTTTACTGTAATTCTGCAGAAATGACACCGGATTCTGTTTTTAGTCTCTGGTAGGCAGACGGAGAGAGCAGATATAGCAGCTCTGGGTGGAACCAGCAGCCTGGAAATGAGCACTAATTAAAACCAAACAGACATAAAGAGAGTTCATGAGCCAAAATAGAAGATTTTCACGCCTTTTGTGAATCATAAACACACTCTATGGCAAATAATACTGAAACAACTGCACTAAAATGGACATTTATTTGTATTATGATGTTAGTTACATTTTTGAAGCAATCATGTGTTTCAGATTTGCTTTACAATATGTATATAACTTTATCTGTATGTATGCCAAAAAAGTTGGATATATATATATATAAATTTACAACTTTACATATTGAGCTGTGCAATTATATAATTGTATATGAAACATACATATAGAATACTATATATATTAATTTCGACTTTATTTTTTAAATTCTGACTTTTTTGCCCCCCACAATTCTGAGAAAATTCCCAGAATCGTGATAAAGTCAGATATAAATGCATAATTCTGAGAAAAAAAAGTTGTGAGATAAAATGCTGCAATTGCAAGAAAGTCTGTCCAGTGAAAAAATAAATAAATAAATAAACCTTTTTTATTTCATGGTGGAAAAAAAGCAAAATGTACAATTGGAATTGCAAGAAAGAAAGCCGGAATAATGAGATATAAACTCAGAAATGCACAAAAAGTCGCAATTACCTTTTCATTTTTTAATCCCACAAGCTTCCATAACATCTAGACTAGTTTCGGTCTAGGGTGTGTAGTGTCTTTTTAACAGCTTCATAATCCACTTTTTGCATTTATTTGCATACGTGATTGGTCTGCTCTTCCTTTCATATATTTCATCATTTCATTTACACACAACCAGAGACTAAAAGCTGAACTCAGCTAAACCCTCACACTCTCCTGCTGCTGATTCAGATCACGCAGTGTGTGTGAGATTTAGGAGATTAAAGGTCACTCGGGGTCACTGGGACGACACAATCCATCACCACGGCAACAGTGTTTACAGCTGTCAGTCACTGACCAATAAAGCCCCGCCTCCTGCTGCTTGAGTTCATGGAAACGTGGGCGGGGCTACACACGTAACTAAGTCATTGTTTACAAACCAAACAAAACTCGAGAGTGATTCTTATCATGTGATATTTCAGTTCTGAAGCCAAATGTGTCAGAAACACACACACACACAGTGCTCATGTGATGTTAACACCCCAGAACTAAAGCCCTGTGTAAGATAAGCTTGTGTTGTTAGCTGCGCTCTTCAAATCCAAAGAACCTTCCTGCAAAGTTATTGCGAATGATATCACTGCATGCTGACATCAGTTATTTTACTTATATTTCAAAGTACCAAACAATTGGCCTCATTTATCAATCTAGCGTAGAAACGAGCACAACTCAATTTAAGACTGTGATTCATGAAACATTCAATTGATCTTACTCCAAAAACACCCGTTAACCTTGTAATTGCAAACAATTAGGCTACATTCATTTATGTAATTTATATGTATATTAAAATACTGGTAAATATAAACAGTCTATTTAGTTCCCCTCACTCTACAACAAATATTTTACATTTAACGCTATTCACAACAGAACAAGAATGCAAAATAAGTAGTTATAAAATTATATATTAAACTATAAAATAAAACACAAATTAGGCTATAGTGGCAAACAGCTAAACCAAATCCAAATGTTTCCATTTTTGCCATATTTGTAACATTTGTTTGCATAACTGTTATTCATTATGTAGGCTAAACAAGGCTTTATACTTCACTCATGTTCTAATATCCGTGTAAAATCCTTCACATGTGCAAAAATGTTTGTTTGGGCGCTGCACGCTGATTTTACAGCGGACCTTTTAAAATAAACACTGTAACTTTTATGTTTGGTTGACTGCATTTTAGTTTGCTGAAATGTCAGGCGACGCTAGAACTAATGTTTGTGTGAGGCGCCTTTGCGATCAGATGGATTAAATCAAATAAAGATATAAAGAAAAGAAATAAAATGCATTAACAGTGTCACAAAAACGAGCACAACCTATACTTGTTGCAGTGTTTTTTTTTTCCTTTTGTTAATCTGTTACTTATATTATAGCCTATTTTGTGTGATCCTGTTTATTTTGTCGTACGTTCGTTTTGTAAATGTTTATGTTGTGACTACAGCAAACACATGCCAGAACAAAACTCGTCTACAGTACAGCGTATGAGATATAAAAAAAAATGATCAAACAATTCTGACTTTTTTCTTACAATTCTGAGAAGAAATGTCAACATTGTGAGATATAAACTCACAATTGAAACAAAAAAGTCAGAATTGTGGGATTTAAATCGCAATTAACTTTTTTAAATTTCTTATTCCATGGCGGAAACAAAAAAATCAGGAAAAAAATGCTAGATTTAAACTCAGAATTCCCAGAAAAAAGTCAGAATTTCAACTCAGAATTCTGAGAAAAATTCCGAGATATAAACTCAGAAAAAAGTCAGAATTACAAGTTTATATCTCACAATTCTGTTTTTTCTTCTTCTCAGAATTGCAATTAAGTCATAAGTGTTAAATTCCAATTACCTTTTTTAATTGTTTTATTCCGTGGTGTAAATGGGCTAAGGCTAAAACTGTAATTTTGTCAAATCTTTTATTTGTAAAGTGCATCTGTGCATCTTTTTTTAACAATAAATGACTTGTTTTCATATTTTGTTATGTAATGAATGGCATTTGTTCAGCCACTCATTGGTGCTTGAATTATTAACCAATCACACGTCTTGTTTACAGTGATCCAATCAGAAGCTGAGGCGAGTACACTACTAATGCAGCGATGTGATTGGCTGACGGTAGAGACTCAGGTGATGCTGTTACCTGACATCTGGAGTCTTAAGCTGACTAAATGAGACACAGTGAGACATTATGAGAGGTCTGTATTCTCCTTCAGCTTGAAGGTCGCGGTGTGGTTCGAAGCGGTGAGTGCTGCCTCATGAATATTTAATGAGATGGCCCTCCTCATCTTTAGGCCATGATTTGTCTACAGTTCACATCACAGAGACCTCCAATACTGCTGAACGATTACAAACGAACACACATGTGATCTCAAGGAGTTCTTCTGTGCTGTCTAAAGCACTATTCAGACACGATCATATTCCATGCGTTGTGAAAATCGCTTTACAAATAAAACAGACCTGACGCAGCCGATCGACTGTGCGTATCAGGCTGTTTTCAAGGTCTCCGTCTGTCCTGGTTTGATATTTCCAAACTCACAGACTGTGCCGAGGACACTCAGGGTCACGCGAAACCGCTGGAGAACTCCCAGAATTCAGTCAGTCCGGATCACGTCTTAAACGCTGCTTTAAGAGTTTCTTTAACTCTTCACAGTGTGACTGTGAACAGAGACCCAGCTAGCAAAACTTTCATTGTCATTAAGTTTCTGAAACATGTTATTTTAGTACTGTTAGTTTTTATTAATCATTTAACCACCAGTTTTTATGTTTATATTTTCTATTTGAATTTTATTTAAAGTTTTCGTAATTTTGTTGTGTTTCTGGCATTTTTAGTAGTTTTTATTGCATGTATCGCTATATAGTTTAGATTAATTTTATTTATTTTTGTACGTCAATTTAAACTAAATGTTGCCTTGGCAACTAGCTGAAATCAAAACAAATTTTAGTTTAAAAACCTGTTTCCGAATGTTCTCGGAAAGTTCAAAATGTCCATTTGTTAAATGTTTTAGAAACGTTTTTTCTTGGTTATACAAATGTTACGGGAACATTGCATTTGATCATTTTGAAACGTTATGGGAACGTTATTATTCAGTGTTCTCTGAACATTCTGAAACAAGTAGCAACATTTAATAAAACCTCAGAAAAAAAGATACAAATGTTATTAAAGACGCTTTGAATGAACATTCTATTAATGTCGCAGGAAGAACATTTGTTCAAAACCTTACAAGAACGTTCTGGGAACATTCCCCGTTATCTGGGAAACTACATTTTGTGTTTGTCTTTTAAATAAGATACATGTGTATAATATAAAAACCATAGACGAAAAGCTGTTCCTTATTCTAAGAATTTATACTACAGTGTAAAAACGTTGTAAACATTAGAGTACAGTTAACAAGAAAACACCAGTTTTTCCAATTTCAAAATATCTCATTTAATTCATTGTGTTACGTGGCATTTCTCAACTGTACTAGTGAAAATAGTTCTACACCAGATTTTGTTCATTGTAGGTAAAAGGTCAAACCCAGCGCTGGTTAAAGCGGCACAAACGGCATCCGAGCTCCAGCTGTGAACAAACTCGTAAGCTGTAGATTACATCAGCGCGGGACCTAAACGCCTCTGATCTACAACAATATTTATTCATCGGTGCGTTGATTTAACATCAGCTGTTTAAAGCAGGTTTGAATGAGAGGAAAGACCTGCTGGCTGATCCTCAGGTCACTTTGAAGGTCTGTGTGTGATTGAAGTTCAAAAACAAGATCTAGAGTTTCCCACCCGAAGAAAGAGACTTCAGAGAAACAATAGAGTCAGAGAGAGAGAGAGAGAGAGAGAGAGAGCTGCGGGAGGCCACTTATCATAGACGTCTCCACCTCTGTTTGATATTTAACTTCAGAAACATCTGAGATATCATAACAGAAACGTACATAATGCACACACGTACACAGACTGGCTTCTCTTTGAAAGAATGAGCAGATACAGAGAGACGCCGCAGGAAACTGATCGTCTGGACAATAAGTTGCATTAAAAGAGGTTTTCTTCTGGTAGAAGCCTGTAAAGTTACTACTGATACATGAAACATGATCAAAGCTTTCCTGTCGCACACACTCTCCTCGTGTCTTCTGTCTCGGAGTGATAGTTTAGAGTGTTTTATCCAGTAAAAGCTCTTTTAGTGTAATTGTAGAAGCGTCCAGCTTCAGCTGGAGCTTCTCGTGTCAAATCTTGACTGGTTTTGATCAAGTAAGCGTCAGAATAACGTCAGTAATATCTCCAGATGAACACTTACTGCACTGAAGCAGCTCAGCTTTACTTGATTCTCCATCAATCATGTTTTAGAGTCTCAAATCTGATCCTCAGGATCTTTTGAGGAACGTTTGTTTCCAGAAGCTTTACTTTCACTGTTCCTCAGCGGAGGAATGATCTTCACAAGCCTCCAGAACATCTCACAACTTCTGAGGAGCCTTTATTTCTTCAGCTCTCAATCACTGCATTATATGTTTGGAGCATTTCAGTCTCATCTCACTGAGACAGATTACTGGAGATATAGAGCTACGACGACTGATATTTAGATCATTTTTTGTCAGTATCTGCTGCACTGTTATAAAGATCTCATTGATTTACATCACAAGCATCAGAATCTCATCATAGAAATATCAGCATCTGCAGCAAATTGAGCTGTTTTTGCCTCCATGTTCTCACGGTATCACACTACACGAGTCATGAAAGAGCCATATATTTAGTCCATTTAAAGCTTCAATAATTATTTAAAAAATGACATTGTTCCCATGTTTACCGGGTTAATCGTCTGAGTCATACTCGTGACCTTTCACCTACTGGTGACCCATATTTGCTGCACAAAAACTGCATTCATTCATGCTTAAAGTGAGAAAAATACATATTAATAGTTGGTATCAATTCTCTAATGACAATGTTTCAGTGGAAAACAAGTCAGTCGCAGACTAATAATAGTGTGATGTAGGAGTGTGTCAGGTTCTGGTCTCATCTGAGACGTCGTTCCTCATGGAGATAATAGCAGTGCTGGAATCACCGCACCTTCAATACACTCCTGAAGCATGAGTTTTCCAGCGTGTTCTGAGATTAACGAGTGTCAAACTCACCTGAAAGCGTTTGTGAAAGCATGCATGCTCGTTTCTGCTTAGTGAAACCTAAATGCCTTCATAAACGATGTACTTGACCATATGAAGCCCCAAAATACTGAGGATGGGCGTCTCCTTTAATGCACAGCGTGATGTTTGAACTTCACCAGTCTTAGATTCTTCTCATCCGCACAATGCAGAGAAAACATGCTCGGTGTGTTTCTGTCCGCTAATGTCCAGCCTGTACCCAGAGAACAAAAACACGCTGTTGTGCTCACGTTCCCACTGAGTTCTGAAAACCTTACCTTTTGTTTTTAATGTTCTAAAAACGTTAAAGGAAAATTCCATTTGATCATTTTGTATTAAGGAAACGTTACTTTTGAATGTTTTTGAAAAAGTAACAGTTACTCTTTATTTTAAGGTGTCCTTGTTACAGTGTAATTATACATTTAAGTACTGAGTAATATTAATTACTAATAATAATGTATTTACTATATGGTTAGGGTTCGGCTTAGTGTTACTTGCATGTAATTATGCATAATTAATTGTTATTATAATAGTAAGTACATGTAATATGTGTAACAAGGCCACCTTAAAATAAAGTGTTAACAAAGTAACATTTTAAAAACATCAGATGAACATCCAACAAAAAGGTTTCAGGAAAAACGTTCCATGCACGATGTATAAATAATGCTTTTGCGCTAACATTTTGAGAACATTACGAAAGACCAGGTAACTGTGAACGTGCTATTGTTAATGTTACTGGAAGAGCGTTTGTTCGGGTCTTTGAGAGAAACTTCCGGCAATGTTTCCTAGCTGGGAACCCAGGGACAAATTTAGGTTATAAAAACGTTAAAATGTCCTGTTTTCTTGTCATGATTAGAACTTTTTTAAAGGTTACAAAAACGTTTCTCAAGCACAAATGACGTCATCAGGATGTTTTGAGAATGTTGATCTCGGAACGTTTTCTCTTAACATTATATGTGTTCCTGCAGCACAAAAGCAGTGTTAAGTCGCTGGGGGATATTTGTAGCAATAGCCAACAATACATTGTATGGGTCACAATTATACATTTCTCTTTTATGCCAAAATCATTAGGATATTAAGTAAAGATCATGTTCCATGAAGATATTTAGTACATTTCTTACCGTAAATATGTCAAAACGTAATATTTGATTTGCAAAAATCTTTTTTCATATTTTCAGATTTCAAGCTCAGCCAAATATTGTCCTATCCTAACAAGCTTATTTTAGGTTATAAAAACGTTAAAATGTCCTGTTTTCTTGTCATGATTAGAACTTTTTTAAAGGTTACAAAAACGTTTCTCAAGCACAAATGACGTCATCAGGATGTTTTGAGAATGTTGATCTCGGAACGTTTTCTCTTAACATTATATGTGTTCCTGGAGCACAAAAGCAGTGTTAAGTCGCTGGGGGATATTTGTAGCAATAGCCAACAATACATTGTATGGGTCACAATTATACATTTCTCTTTTATGCCAAAAATCATTAGGATATTGAGTAAAGATCATGTTCCATGAAGGTATTTAGTACATTTCTTACCGTAAATATATCAAAACTTAATTTTTGATTTGCAAAAAAAAACATTTTTCAATATTTTTTTTCTTCATATTTTCAGATTTCAAGCTCAGCCAAATATTGTCCTATCCTAACAAGCTTATTTATTCAGCTTTCAGATGATGTATAAATCTCAATTTAAAAAAACTGACCCTTATGCCTGCTTTTGTGCTCCAGGGTCACAAATCAGTGACAAGAACGTTCCATAAGCATTACTTTAAGAACGTTTTGTCCTAACATTTATAAACAAAACAACACTGGCATGTTGTGAGCACGTTCCCTGTGAGCTGGGTCATTACAGCCAAACACATGCATCTATTACAGTAGATAACAGCACTATATTATATGACTGTATCCTGTAATGAAGAGGATGCATGAAGCCATCCGTCACATGCCCCGCTGTAATAATGTAAGTCCAGCAGATGCAGTGACCCAGATCAGCCAAACCCGCTTACAGCATCAAAGCCCGGATAAATATAGAAGCGGCTCTCTCTGCGGTTCTGCTCCGTGTCTCGGCGCGCGGGATGCTGGGACGGAGCACCGGATGCAACCGCTCAGTATTCATTCATATTCATCATGCATCTTATTTTATTCTGCAGCATTAACTGCGAAGATCTAAATGATGCACATCATCATTTGGCAGCAGAATGTTGTGATAACGGGACCGTCTCGGCAGCACAAACGTATCATCATCATCATCATCATCATCATCATTTAAAAAGGCTGTTTACCTTCAGGTCCGGTTATCAGTGCTGTCTGTCTCTCTGACCTTCAGTCGCTGCTGCAGAAAGACGCTCCGCACGCGCGTTTGAATCCGTCGCTCTGCGGACGGCGGCGGTGACGTCACGAGCGTTTGTTTAGCGGAGGCTTGGCTCATGAATATTAATGAGGCGGTGTGACGCGCCGCCAGTGGACGCTCTCCGATTGGCTACGAGGCAGGCGAGTCGCTCAGTGGGCGCAATGAATATCAATTAGGTTCGTATCCGGGAAGGTAACCGTATGCAACGTCAAAAATATTTGTAAAAGTCTGCAACGTCGTCACCACGTAATGGTGATCCTGTACGGGAGCGCACGAGCTCAGCTCTTGTTTATTATTCCAGTCGCGTCTGGAATGCGCCTCTTACAGGGGCTTATTGTGCTAAAACAATCAGCAGGGAGAAACTAATTCTTCTGCCAAATAACTGAAATCCAAGGGTAAAGACAATAAAATTACACTAATCTTTTTTTTTTCAGATTGTACAACATAAGAAGACATGGAACATCCGAATATATAACCAGTGTTGGGGAAAGTTACTTTTAAAAGTAATGCATTACAATATTGCGTTACTCCATAAAAAAGTAACTAATCGCGTTACTTTTATGGAAAGTAATGCGTTGCGTTACTTTCGCGTTACTTTTAAAATCTGGACAGGGCTCGCTTGTTTGTTTTTAAAATAAAAAAGTATATTTTTGGCAAATATAAAGCCTTTTCACACCAGACGTGAAATGAATCCGCCTCAGGCTGAAGGGAAAGTACAGTAGAACGCAGAAGAAGACATTTCAACACACTTCAGCAATAAACAAAGACACACAGATGTTCGTCTAGAGTAATTAGTGCTTATTAGTACGCTTGAACCGGATCATCGAAGCTCAGAAGCTAATAGAATGGGATTAAATACATAAAGCATATTTGTGTTGTTTAACATTGAATTATTGCAGGTTTGCGTCATATTCTGAGTTGCATTATTTTTATTCATTTTGAGGAATACTGAATCTGTGTGTGTGTGAGTGAGATGAATTAATGCATATTCATATTTATTTTAGAGCTACAGTAACATCTTCTGATTTCTGTCGCCATGGCGACACCAGAGCTGTCACTCAGTAAACTGGAAACAAAGTAACTTGCCTTACTTAATTGAAAAAGTAACTCAGATATTCTCTTGTAAATTAAAAAGTAATGCGTTACTTTACTAGTTACTTGAAAAAAGTAATCTGATTACGTAACTCACGTTACTTGTAATGCGTTACCCCCAACACTGATATATATATATATATATTAGTCAAACGATTAATCGCGATTAATCGCATCCAAAATAAAAGTTTTTGTTTACATAATATATGTGTGTGTACTGTGTGTTTATTTATTATGTATATATAAATACCCACACATACAGTAGGCCTATATATTTTGAACATATTTATATGTATATACATTTATATTATTATATTTTATATTATATATAAATATATTTAATACATAAACGTAACATATTTTTCATAAATATATGCATGCATGTGTTTGTATTTACATATACATTATTAATACACACAGTACACACTCATATATTATGTGAACAAAAACTTTTATTTTGGACGCGATTAATCGCGATTAATTATTTGACAGCACTAATATATAATTTTTTTTTCATTTTGCTTCAGTCACGTGATAAGTGAATAAAATGACTCGGGACTCAAAAGACATTATAGTGATTTCATGTTCAGATTATGCAATTCAAAAACGATATACTGTAATTTAACTCGATCAAATGAACGCTATGGAATATTGATGTAATTATCGATCCAGTAAAATGACCCGATCACTAACAGATGGAAATGTTTTGCCTTTGGTTATTTCATGAATAGTTAATAAGTTTGCAGCCACCTGAGGGCAGTGTGTCACTAGGTTAAACTGCATCTGTGTGTTTTAATATTATTCCTGTTTCGTTTGGTACATTTTCTCAGCAGTGTGCATCAGATGAATGCTGATGGCTGTCTGAAGGAGTGTGGTTTATTTCTTATTTATTAGCAATTACATACAAGCACTAATTAATTGTGCATTTACAGTAACCCAATAAGAACCCAGAGTTATGAACTATTAGATCATAGAACATTCGTTCAATAAGTTATCTGGTTTTTAAATGTTAACACAAGAACATTATTTATGCATCATTCATGAACGTTTAAATGTTATTATTAGGCTACTCGTTTGAGAACATTCAGAAATAACATTTTCATAGCTTAACGGAAACGTTGGCTAAGCATTCTTAACATGCTTTTGTTGTTGTTGTTGTTGTTGTTGTTGTTGTTAGCTGCTGTGCTGAGAAGCATTGACTGCGGTTGGATCTAAACATCCAAACAAACACTGCTGCATAAATATTAAGTTATGGACTATATGTTCAAATATTCACCACGTATGGCAAACCAAACCCCAATATGAACACATAATTCCAGGATCTGTTCACCTGTGAATGAGTTAAATGTCTCAGAACAGGTATCTGCCCTCAATTTATTATCAATATTCAAGCCAAGTCAAATTTACTTGTGTCGCTTTAAAGCAGCTTTACAGAAATCATGATACTGATGTTTATAATATCTTAACATCTTTATGCCTCTTAGCAGATTAGAGCTGAACGATCATGTTTGTGATATAAACAATTAAGCATGAGGTTTGCTATATATACTGTATATATCTACGATATATATAAACGATGGTGAAACATAAAAACATTAATTTAAAGTGGTTAATTACAGCTATAGAAATAACACATTTTAATTTTATTGCAAAATATGCTCATATATACAAGTATTTAATTTTTCAATCACTCTCTGATTGGTGGAATTTCGCACGGCATCATGGGTAATGTAGTTTTCACCAGAAATCCCGCTGTAAGTCGGAATGATGCGAACAGATGGGTTCAACAAACGCAATCAGTTAACAACTTCTGCGTTCACAACAGGTCTGTCTTCAGTGGTTTATAAGTCACAATTTAAAACCAATTTCCCTAACTCTCTGTTGTGCTCTGTTTGTGAATAAACTGCTTGGATTCTTTATTGGTATTTCAGGACCCAGAATGCTTTTCTTTGTCATCACTGTAAATCTCCTTCTGTTTTTAATCATGTAAAGTCTCTTATGTGTGCTGGATCATGTGTATGTCGATGGATCCAGGAATAATCACGTGCGGCGTCAGTCTAGAGGTTAGACTCTCTGAATCTCCCAGAAGGCTTTGCTCCACTGATGGTGTGTTTACACTTTTCAAGAGCTGATGGACTTCAGATCTCATCGGATCAACTTTCTTTTAACTATTTTAAAAAAAGAAGTGGTTTTCACATGGAAATTGCAAGTACATTTCACAAATGATTACAAAGAAACAGCAAGTTACACACTGAATATGAAGTAGAAAACCTGCAATAGTAGGCCTATGTTCTTGTAAAAATAACAATCTTTGTTTTACTTACAACTTAAAAAGGTCTTTTGTTACAGTGTTTCAAATGAAGAATGTATTGTAATTGAATCATTATTTGTATATAGTTAGAGTACAGTTATTTACTTACTATTATAATTATATCAGTATTTTGAGTTTGCTTTTTTATATTTTCGTTTATGTTTTAGTAGGTAATTTTGTAATATGTTTGTCATTTTTATTTAGTTTTGGTTTTAGTAATTTTACTACTTTAAGTTTTTCATTCAATATTTGTATTTTATTTCAGCTTTATTAGACACATTATAAAACCATTTTAAAGTTAACAATAATAACACATACATGTATACACTGTATATGTGTGTGTGTGTATATACAGTGGGTACGGAAAGTTGGCCAGATCTGTGCCTTGCCACAATTCTGTCTCTGAGCTCTTCAGGCAGTTCCTTTGACTTCATGATTCTCATTTGCTCTGACATGCACTGTGAGCGGTAATGTCTTATATAGACAGGTGTGTGGCTTTTCTAATCAAGTCCAATCAGTATAATCAAACACAGCTGGACTCAAATTAAGGTGTAGAACCATCTCAAGGATGCTCAGAAGAAATGGACAGCACCTGAGTTAAATATATGAGTGTCACATCAAAGGGTCTGAATACTTAGGACCATGTGATATTTCAGTTTTTCTTTTTTAATAAATCTGCAAAAATGTCAACAATTCTGTGTTTTTCTGTCAATATGGGGTGCTGTGTGTACATTAATGAGGGAAAAAAATGAACTTAAATGATTTTAGCAAATGGCTGCAATATAACAAAGAGTGAAAAATTTAAGGGGGTCTGAAGACTTTCCGTATCCACTGTATGTGTATATAGATAGATAGATTCTGTAAATATACAGACCCTAAATTAATTTTTTCCCCCTGGATCTCCAAATGAACAAATACAATCTTGAATCAACATGCAGAATGATTGATTTGAAGCGTGCGACTGATGCTTGATTCGTGAACCGATCGAGTCCAGCGAGTCTCTGATCCGATGCTGTTGTTCAGTGTAATTGTGCTCATGTTTCTCAATGGTTTGCACACACTTTGTGTTGATCCACAGCTGCTTTAGTCGTTGAGCGCTCGGCTTTGGTTTAATATGGTTTGGCTTGGCTTCTGTCGTTTCCATTCTCTGTGTTTCTCGTCTGGAGCTGCAGCAGAAGATGGATGGCTCTGTAGAGCATCTGCTCGCTTACGCCTCTGTTTTTACAGCATCTTTCACACCAGACGTCCCTCTGAGAGAGAAACACAGCGTCCCGTCTCCTATCTGTAGGACACACGGATTTCAGAGCTGCAGACGAGGCTTTATTTTGCTCATTTGTTCAGCTGTACAATGCTGCAGTTTGAGTCTCAAATACTAAAAAATGCTATTTTGTTGAAACTACACAAAGTAGTTCGTCAGACCGACAAAATTACCCCAAATGTTGTCTCAACTAGTCAAACACAGTTGTCTGAACAAAGAATTTCACATTGTTGAAATGTTAATGCTTTGTGAGCTCCCAGCATGCATTGCAGCATGAATAAATTATGCAGTTATAGGAGTATTGTTTTGCTGTTTGCTGACTTCATTTAAACTTCGTTGTTGCTGTTGTTTTGTCATTATTGTTAGTTAT